CCGCCCGGCTGCACTGCTGTTACCCTGTGCGGCCTTAGCAAAGGCTTTTCGGCTTCTGAACTACAGGTATCCTCCAAGAAGGTACGACCATCTTTGTCCCTAGGAGCAAAAAGCACCCAGGAACTCTCCAGAAATGCGAGCCTTACCACAGGCGCTGATGCAGGCGTTGAAGCTGATGACATCCGCCTGCTGCTGAGCAACCTGCGCTGGCTTGCCCGAAGGAGTTTCCAAAGCACGGGGGTACCCGTTGAATAGCTCTGGCAATCAGGTGCTCAGTATTGCCGGTGCATACCTAATGCTCGCAGAGAGACCATCCATCGAAGCACAAAAAGGAAAGTGCAGAAGCCGGAGAATCCAGGATCTATAGCATGCTTAATTAACTTGACCGTGGCTGTGGGGTGACGATTGGTTTTGTAATTCGAGCTCTCCTGCGGGTCGGGATGATCAGTACTACTACAATTGCGAAGCTTGAGCCAGGCCGGTTAAGTTTCATGGCCATACACATCCGCATTGCTCGCTGTGTATCTGCGACTCGTACTCAATGAGGCGCCTGCATCTCCTGCAGCAGCCAAAGGGCCTGATGCCACTCACAGCCCTTCTCACAGGCGCTGATCGAGGCATTGTAGCCTGAGTGACATACAGGGCGGCCTACATGCGCCTGAACTAGAAGGAAAGGCATGCATCATATACGCATTGCGCTCTGCTAGGACATGAACCCCCTCAGTGCAGCGAAGGAACTCAAGGTATTGGGCGGCACGTGCCAGGAAATCATATCTTGCAGCCTGACAGTCGCCCCCTAGCCTGGCTTGGGGTCTTCAAAACATGAGGTAGTCATCCTTCGTTGACATTGCACAAGGGCCTCACGATTTTTGAGCTGAAGTCTAGGCCAAGCGCTGCAGAAACTGCACGCAGGAAAGAAGTCCCCAGGCACTCATCCAATCTTGGGACATGCATGGAGACTCCTTCTGAGGGACCCTTTTGCAGCCATGCCTGCATGTAAGCACGCGGCATGTTTGAACTACTGTTGATACTAAAAATCCTGCATGACCTTAATGTACTATAGTACCATAATTCCCAGGGTATAAGGTAGCTAGGGTCATGCAGGATTTGTGATTGGCTCCACCGTATTGTAGGCTCCCACAGGCATCCAGGTGACAGCTTCAAAGCAGCAGTCCAGTCATTGACCTGCAGCGGCATGGGCTGGGTAAAGCGCATGCTTTCTCAAGTCCACAAGAATGATAGGACCTCCCAAGGAAGACCAAATGGAATGGGTGAATCTAGGAAACAGAAGCTTCGATACACATAATCCTCCCATAAAATGGAGTCCATAATCCCTGCATATTCCCTAGACACTATAAGAGGGGCTAGGAACGCCAGACGCCTGACCATGTAGCCTATGCACCTGAGGGTCCAACTATTTTGAGCAACATCCATCAGGCTATATGCATGGTGAACCCTGTCATAACAACTGAATGATGCAACATGGAAATGTCAACCTGTGCGTTGTCCTTAGTTGAGCTTAGTCGCCCGTGTTCATTGTACACCCGCCACCCCACCCTATTAAGGTTGAATGTTCTCCCCATTATAGCACGCAGAAACCCTCACCCTAAGGCAATTCCTGCCATCCCCCATACAACTTCACACAATATGCCTGGCCTGCTATCCCCAGATCAGAAACTGGACGGGCATTCCTATAACGACTGGTCTAAGTGTGAGGTCTCCCCGATTAGACACCTTTTATATATATATATATACTTATCAATATTCCTAACGAACCTAGTAAAGCCACACCTCACATGGGCAATTCTCAACATTCATGGGCCCCTTTTGCTTAGGAGTACCCAAATGAAAGAGAACCCCAATTTTTGGAACTACCCACATGAGCTCTTCATGCTTGAGCGCCTTCTCCAGCGCGCTGATTACTGAACTGCAATGGTAGACGTTGGGCTTTACCGAGTCGAGTTGCATAGCACCAAGGACCTTGCCGGGTTCTTGCAGCAATCAGGATCTTAAGAACTTGGGGTTTAGGGTTTAGGGGCTTTAAGAAATTGGTGTCCAAATTGCGTCCCCTGTTGATGGAAGCTGCCAAATCTTCCCCTAGACAAACATAGGACCCAACATGGGTCCTGGAGAGGCAACTGTCCATTTTCAAGGGCCCCCTTGGAGCCTGCTTTCGGGTATATGGTCGGCATCGTCAACTTGAAGGCCCCTCCACCCCCCTCTGACGAAACTGGTCGGAATCCCTAATTTGACATACGGGGGTTTTCATAAATTGAGGGACCCCCTCACCCAGAAAGAAGGAACCTAGGGGAGTAGCAGAGGGGCCGTATAAACCCTAAACTCTGAACCCTA